ATCATCATCATCATATTATATTATATTTATATACGATCAAAGACCAGATAAGCATTTGATACAACAAAAGGATCTATAATCATACAATTACCCACAATGTTGGGAAGAGTAGGCAGATAGAAACAAAGCACGAAATAAACTCTCCTGTTCTTAAAGAGAACTTGGAATGTCATCAGAAGAGGTAGAGCTCTCAACCTCTTGTATACCACAGCTGAACAGAGTGATGCTGCAGTTGTTGAAATAAATGCCATACTAAAGTTGCAGTTCTGCACCCTCTAACTCTGTTCCAGAGGTGCAAACTACAATTTATTGAGCTCACTGATACTACTTGACTGCCTATGTTTCATGGCCACGAGAGAATTGTATTTACTTTCAGGCATCCCATCGTGGCCCTGATAATTATCAGACTGAAAAGCTTCCTGAAAGAATTTCAGATTGTTCCCATTTGGGTTTTCAAGGATTATATTTGCACCCTCCTAGAAGTCAGGAATCAAGCTAAGCCTGCAGGGGAAGGTTAGCAAACAGGAAAAGTCTGGTGTATATTTCTTGCCAGCAGCTTAAGTCAAGGTGCAAAGTTCACCCCCTCTCTAGGCCTAAGGATAATAAACATTGTTCTATCAAACACAGAAGGGAGGTGCCAGCAGATTCAATCAAAGAGAAAATAAATTATTAGCTTATAGAGATGAAGAGGAGAAATTAATCCAGTCATAAACTCTCCCTCAGGTTGAGCAAAAAGAAATCATATACAGATTGGAAGCAATAAAAAGCATGGTGGTGTCTGCTGCATCTGCCACAAAGTCACTGAACTCCATAATTCCAATTAAAAAGTAAAGTCCTGAAGAAAAGAGAGTGATATAATACATTAAACAACAAAACAAGGAGCAAACCTGCAGATAGGTTTCATATCCCAGCAAGTATTATAAAAATAGGAAGTGGAATAGCCCAATGCAAATCCAAGGAAGCAACAATACATTGCAGACAAATATACCATTCAGAGATCACCTAGTAAAGATACAGACACTTCGGGAGGAAGCACAACATTCACTGCTTCCTCATTAGCAAAAAGTTGCAAATACAGAAACCAACAGCAATAATATATATGCCCTAAATGACAAGAGGAATTTATTCCAGCCTGATCAAGCCATAACAGCAGACTTGATTTATCCTGTTGAAATATCTGGTGGGGAAGCATGTAATTCTACCCAAGTCTTTAAAGCAGTAATTTCCATAATGCTATTTTATGTCTGATTGAAATTTTGACACAATTACCTCTCTTAGTGATCCAGATTATTTGGGTAACCTATGGAAATATCAGATTGGCCATTCTATTGAGGCAATTTCCAGAAATTTCCAGAATAATCTGAGTTTTCAACAGGAATACAGAATGTGAAGCATGTTCATTGGCCCCTCAACCTGTAATGGCTAATGCTCAACAATTGGATAAACAACTTAATTCTACTACTCACTGTAGCTGTCCACCAAGTCTGCAGATTTTTTTTTTCGGTATTCCAAAATCTACCGTGCAGATGGAATTCTTGCATTCTAAAGAACTAAAGCTTGTTGAGGTTTTGCCATCTGCCTCAACTTTGGGAGGCACCTCATCCCCCACAGTTGCTAACAGTGACCGATTCCCTCACAGATTGTGTGTGTGTGTGTGTGTGTGTGTAGGACCAGAGAACAATCACTGCCTTGGTCCAATACTTTCATGAGGAGTACCTAATTATTAATAACCCCCCAAAATAAGATTTCCCCTCCCTAACAAACCTAAAAACTTTAGATGAGCCATTAATGGTCACAGGATAGAACAAGTTAAAATATTGAAGTATCTTGGGATGATATGGAGGAACGGGCACTCATGCTGTTTGTCTCCAACTTGGCCAAAGAATTAATTCAGCAATGTTATAGTTTCATTATTCATAAGGTAAAAGGTATTTGTAGCTATAAAACTCTTCCAGGCAAAGGCCTCAGAACTATTATTTGAGACACCCCTTGACTGATACACTTCACTTCAGACTATTTGAATCTGTACAATCTAGATTTCTTAGCTCTATATTTGGCACTCCTATATGTATTTTTAATGCGATCCTTAGGCAAGACTCTGGGCTAATTAAGAGTAGAGGCAAGAGCCTGGATAGTAATATTTAATTATTGGCTCACATTCATCTATCTTCCCATAGAGCTGCACTTCATTTTAAATATTGCCTTTCAATCTACCTGGAAGAGGTCCCTGAAGTAATAAATTATTTCAAGTGGCCTTTCCCTGACTACTTTATGTAACCTTTGCTGGTCCCAGCCAAAAGTCATATCCAATGACTCCTAGAAATTGAGTTATAGTACAACCTGAACCAATTGCCCACTTCTGCAAGACTCCAAATTAATTAATTTTTAATTGGAGAGACCTCCTACCTTCATACATTGCTACACCAAAAATACCAGTGGGCCTTTACTAGGCATGTTGTAATGCCCTGTATTACTGCTATAGGGCAGATAACCACAATGCTTCTAGAATACATTGTCTTCATCCATGTGGCACAGAAGAGTTTGAATTGATTACACATGTTCTTTTGTATTGCAGATTTTAGTTGATGATGCACTAAAATCAAATTTCCCCCCCTTTAGCGGCAATCCCTGCCCATTCAGATGACTTCTGTGGTGGTTCCCATCTTGATGACAAGGTATTTTATGTAATGTATACTGTTGTGATGTTTTGCTCCCTGACTTCAAGACTCAATCCAGAAAATCACATTGAAAAATAAGCCTGAATACTATATTTCCTTATGGATGTTTTTTTGTTTGCTTGTTTTGGTCTTTTCATACTTGTTTGTTAGCTAATGATATAATAAAGCAGTTGAAGTTTCCTCTCTGCTACCAGAGAGACTCGAAAACTGGAACATTGCCTAAAGGAGCCAATCCAAAGATGGACTGAGTGACGGAGGCCAATCCAGACCACCTGAACAGCCAAGGCAAGGTTGGACCAAAGTCAATCAGCACCAAGAAGCAATGAGGACTTAAAAGTGTTGTGTTTCCAGCTATCCAGCTTTATCAACAACTTCCTGACATATGTCTTGCCCTCTGAACTGGATGTCCAGCACTTCCTTGCTTCTTCAACTATCCTTTCCCAGTCAGTCTAAAGGTATAGGATACACAGCAGAGTTGCCATCCAACTCTTGTATACCTAAGTATATTCTTGTGTTTGTAGCTTTTCTTGCTATTATCATTTCTTATCTACTCATCATGTAAATTTTGCAAAATTTCAAATAATTAAGAAAACAGTACTTAAATGCACTCTTTGCTTGTGTCCCACCATCTAAAACTACACCAAGGTATTTACAGTTTTACTAACTGCTATCTGAATGTGTTATGTGCATGAGTGCATGTGCTGGATTGGGAGTTTTACAGCCTATAGGGCCAGAAAGAGGCTGATAGAAGAACTGGACCCCAAGGATGGCAGTTGGAGATGATGACTTGCATAAGCATTAACAGAAGACACATGAAGTGACTGAGCTATAAAGAAGTTAGTTCTTATCTATATGACTGAAAGCAAGTAAACTGAAAACCTTTCCAGACTTAACAACTGTCAAACTTCTTTCACTGTTAGGTTCAGTTGGAAACTGCCTTCCTGTAACTTAAATCCATTATCTTGTACTCTGCATTCTGGGGTAATAAAAGACAGATTTTTACATTTTCCTATGTAACATCCTTTCAGGTATTTAAAAAATGTTGTCATATTCCCCCTCAATCTTCTCAGGGTACAATATTTCCAGTTTCTTCAAGCTCTCTTCTAGTTTTTAGTTCTCTAATCATCCTCATGGCTCTTCTCTCAGTCTGCTCCAGCCTGTCTGAATGTTTGTTAAAGTATGATATCCAGAACAAGATGAAATACTCAAGGTGGGATCTGACTATTGCAAAGATAAGAAAGTGAAAATATTACCTCCAATGATTCAAGCAATCTAAAATTACCATGGCCTTTTCTGCAGCCACAGCACGCTTCTGATTCATATTCAGTTTGTAATCAACTACAATTCCAAGATCTTCCCAAGTACTATTGCCAAGACAGGTATCTTCTGTTTTATACCTATGAATTTGACAGCTCTTTCCTAAATGTATATATTTGCATTATTTATGTTCATTCTATTACTTTCAGCCCATTTTTTCTAACATATCAAGAGTCTCTTGAATTTTTGTCTTCTGGGGTATTAGCTATCCTATCCAATTTTCTATCTTCTGCAAAAGTGATAAGCATTCCCTCCGCTTCTTCATTCAAGTCTTTAATTAAAAAAAGGTTGAACAGAACAGGCCTCAAGACTGAACCATAATTGATACTTCATTTCAATTCACCTATAGCACTACCATAGTTTGTTAAAGAAGTTACCCCATCCAAAAATGAAATAAAATTTGGAGGGTTAAGTCTTGTTCTTCCCATATCTGTCTGACTACTGAAAATCACTGCATGGTTTTCAAGGTGTTTACAGTTTTGATCTGTCCTGGAATTTTCCTAGGTATCGATGGTAGATTGGCTTGCCTGTAGTTCCCTGGACACTACTGTTTAAAGACAGGGCCAAGATTTCTCACAGATAATACATGCAGGTTTGATCAGACCATCACCTCATTCCTTCAGTACCCCAGGATAGGAAGGCCTACTAGCATTCACATAACCTGGAGACTGAACCCAGTTCAAACTAAATAGGCAAATTTAGGAAATCTCAAATTTCATCCTCCTGTTCAAATTGCCTGATGGAACATATACCATTTTCTCAAAAAAGACTGCACTAAAATAGGAGTTGGTAATACCAATTTTTCCTTGTTACCTATTAACATTCTGTTGTCGACATTTGGCAGTTGGTATATTGAATTTTTTCTCTTCCTTTTATTTTGAATATATAAGCTTTTTGTTGTTCTTGGTATCCTTCACCAATCTCAGCTCATTCTGCACACTGAAACAATCTATTTAACATTTTAATTACATAAAATAACCACATGTATTCCTTCAGTGCCTGAAAGATAAATATTTTAATAGATAGACTCCAAAATGGGCACTGAACAAAGCACAAACTGTATTTCCATATATTAGACTCAGGAAAAATATTAAACTTTAAAAAATATGAACACTAAATGTTTCTAATATATTCTGTTTGGCTATCACTATATAACAAACAAATTTGCTCAGATTAGAGGTTGATTAAATAATTGTGATCCATACATAAGTACTCTTAAAATGCCAGCTGGTTTCTTTTATAGTCAAGTTGTGAAAATGTTTACCATTACAAACATTCCTCTATTTCAAACATGTAATAGTCCTCAGTATCAGTGAAATGCTTTAGAGGCAGAATAAACATAGTCATCCCTCAGCTAAACCATCCAGAAGTATGATTCCTTCTTTTAAACCAGAAAATTAAAACCACAGATTGTGAATGATATTGGCAATCAACTAAACTGACTCTTGCTTTGAAAACTGAACATCTGAACTGAATGTAAGGGCTTGTGATTCTATCTTCCTCCATGAAAATGTTTCCTTTTCTATTAACTTTTCTAATAGCCATTCTCCCTGGAATGGAGACTAAATGTCATTTTATATATCATCAACATATTTTCTAACTTTTCTTCTATCATCTCTTTCTACGAAACTAACATTATGTTGTTAAAATGGCTAGTCTTCATGAACCTCACATGATGTACATCTTTCGATATAACTTGCATTTATTTGTACAGAAATGGGAGTTAGTTTTTATATCAAGGACTGTTTATGTTTAGTATTAATGCAGAATCCAATACTAAAACAGATTCAGCAAATGTTTTGTTCAAGCTAAAAAACCACTCAGTGCACATCCAATACAATTTTTATATAAGACCTTGTAACGTCTTTAATATAAAAGGCTGTATTTAAAAAAAATAGTGAAACCTGGTAAACTTTTATTTAATGAGAACATTACATTACCATTTGCAGTTATTTTTAAAACATGAGCCTAAGAAAGAATTAAACTAAATGAAACAAAGTCATAATAAGTAAAGGTAATACCACATACTCACTGAAACACCACTTTAAAAAAAGGGGGGGGGACATTTTTATCATGGCTTCACAGTTCCAAATTGCTGGTATAAAATATCAAATTTGAAAGTTACCTACCAAACAATGGCTTTCCACTGATTCCACACCTTTTTAATCTAACCCTTTGGATTAAGTATTTTTTCAAATTTAGAAACAATGTTCAACTTGTCAAGTAGAAAACAAATCTTAGTTCATGATGCGGCATTCCAAAAAAAATGCACTTAAGTATTTACAGGATATTTACACCACCTTTCTGTAAACGTTTTAAATCCATACACATCATCTTGTAGAATTATAAACAATTCTGCTTTTTCTTGGTCTGAAGAGATAGGTTATGATAGTCGTGGTCTTTTAGGTGGTGGTGGTGGCATGAGTTCAGTGTCAGGATCTAGGTGATGTTTACGTGGTTGTCCTGGAGTTGCAGCCATACATTTTTCAATGAATTCAAAAAGGAATTCCTTTGTCACTGGATGTTGTATACTGTTGCATACAGCTGGGGGGGAATAATACATTGTGAGATGGAGAAGAGCAAGGAAAAACATGCATTCACAGCTGTACTTACAGCTTCTTTTTTTCCCCTCATCTCCCTCTTACTCAATATAGTGAACTTTCTTTATGCTTCCTTCCCCTCCAGGAGCGAAAAAGAAGAATAAGGTCCATCTTAAGAGAATGGAGATTCATAGTTTTCATCTCTTTTATTTCCCATGCTCTGCAAATTACTTTAGGATGTGGAAATTTTCACTGAGTAGTGGCTGTCTTATTTTGAATACAACTGAAAGTACCAGACAAGAGAAGACCACATGATATGAAAGCTTCATGCACATGTTTATTTTTAAATATGCATGAGTCAAACTCTAGTTCCGAACTCAAATTTTTATTGAAGCCATGAAAATGTTAAGGCAAATTATGAGTCTTAAATCTTAAAAAAAAGTATATTCATGTTGGCTAACGCTTAATAACGAAATGTAGATATAGAAGCAATTTATTGTACTCACCCATCGCTGTATTGTAAGCATTGGGAAAACTTTTGTCTATCCTTTGTCTCATAAAGACCCAGCTGTTGTTTTCAAACTTGCATTCTATTATCTTATTATCATATTGTTTCAAGTCTTTTGTTACCTGTTTTTTAAAATAAAGATTTTTTTGTTGCAAATGAAAAAAGGAAGTCAAACATTTTTTCTCAAATTCAGATCCTTCAATACTAACGCACTAAAACTATGAATGTTTGCTACAAGCATAATATTATGTACCCCAAAGATGCAAGAAACTTGATAAAATCAGGAAACAGGATAAACTTCAACTTATGAATATATATATATACTTGAAAACATAACATCCCTATAGTGCATGTAATTGTTAAGGGGGAAAAAAACCTAGAATGCAGAAATGCAAAGGATTCCTGTTCAAATTACAAGATATGTTATTCTGGATGTAATTACATACACAGAAGTAGAGTATCAAATAGAACACAGGAAAGTGTGTATATTCTATTATTTGATCAGGAAAATATATTCCATAAGCTCCTAAAAACTTGCCAGTTTAGATTTTCAAATAAACTATTCTTGTCATTTGAATTAGTAAATCTATTCCAAAATCTTAAAATTGTCCAGCATTCCTGTAATCCTATTTCTCCTCCAACTAACAATATTATGGTTACACAAAAATTATGAGTTTGTACAAGGGTACAATGATAAAAATTCAAATAAACCAGGCACAAACAAGGACATAATGGTAAATGTATTATCTCTTCCCCACCCATGTGTGTTATCTGCTTTTCATCTGTGTAGAGGTTCTCTAAGTAAGGGATGGGAAATCTGTGGCCTCCAGATGTTAACAACTGCAGCATCCAATACTCATTTCCATTAATATCATGACTGGGGCTACAGAGAATTATAAGTTAACACATTTGAGAGTCAGAAATGCCACATATCTGTCTTAGTGCCTTTATTATAAAATAATCTGAAAACTTCCAGGGTTGGATTTATTAAAAAAAAGTTAAACCATAAGCAGATATCTTTCAAGCTGTATTTCACTGTTAGATTAACAGTAAAACATAGAATTATTTGCATCCACTTAACATTTTATTTGTTTTGGACATTTTATCTTGTGCATCTTATTAGCCATGCAAAATTTCAGAGTAGCCATGGTAACCTCTGTTGTTGAACAGGTTTTATTTTTCTAAACAAGACCATGCTATGATTGTTTTCATCATCTGAGAAATGGTTTCTGTACTACAGTCTGGAAATGAATAGCCTAATCTTGTCCCAAGGCAGTGTTTCATAATGATTTCTCATTACCAACTAACAAAACAGAGTATTTCAGTTTAACTAGCATCTCAACACATACTGTTGAGATAGTGAAACAAAATAGTAGTTTGTTTCTGAAGAAGTTTTAACAATTTCTCAACCCATTAAAAGACAGTTCCAAAAAAATCCCATCCTCTTAATTTTAAACTATTATTACTTCTGTGATAATTTAGATTTCTTTAGATCTAATTATCACAAGTGCTTCCTCTTAACCCCCTCCCTCCCACAACAGTAATTCACATCACCATCACCACCATGGCAACTATACTGATTTCTGGTGGGACAGTGAATTTAAATCTTTTTAGCAGAGGTGACATCATGAGAAATGTTGGAGTTTTATCCACCAAGTTATCTACCACAAAATAGGGTTAATAACATTCCCATTTGTTAGCATGATTAACTGCCCACTGTGTCCATCCATAATCTTCTTTTTTATAGTATATCACATATATGTCACAGAAAAACATTTCTCAGCCAGATGTTTTACAGTTATGGAATCAGCTAGTCACATTCAGTAAAATATATCCACTTTCCTAATCCACAGTGAATATGACTGCACACAGAAAAATTTAGGCTGCATAATGACCTGGAAATGAGTATTAACTGGTAATCATTGCCAGCTAAAATTTTTATATATTCTATCCATCCATCCATCCATCCATCCATCCATCCATCCATCCATCTATCCATCTTCTGTTGCAGGAGGAAAAGGATGTTAGTGAACCACCTGCTTGAGAAGAGTAAGTGGGGGGAGAAAGTTTATTGTAGCCAATGACTTCACAAATCAGCATTCTCTGTAAGGCTGTGTCACAGTTTATCATTCTTGTAGTGTACACAGAATGAAAATAGCAGAAAATTATGTGCTTGCTCTATTTCACTGTGACAATTAAGTGGCATTAACTAACTATCTATGTACTTGCTTGGCCATTCATTAACAATCTGGAAGATCTTTCCAGAAAATGCTAACATCTGCCAGTACAACAACCTAAATGCATTTTCCTAACAGAAAGTGCTGATCAGTTTAAACAATGACATGTTACTATAATTATTCTGAATATGCTGGGAGGGGAGAAAGGGAGAGGAGAAAACATTCCTCCTTCCCCATATAATTTATGTGACCACTACCTACTATTATCACTTACCTTGGGCAATGAGATCTTGAAAGATGCAATTCTGTATTCAGAAGTTAAAATAATAAAGAGCTTTTTGGTACCTTAAATGCTCTTTAAGATAAAGGTGCACAACTTCCGCCAGTCTGAAGACAGTCCCTAACTTTATATCGCATGTGGAGGGCTGCAATTGGGCACAGCTAGGGAGGGACATTGGGGAGGTTTAAGAGGTAAAATGGGTGCATTAAACATCCCTAAGAATTAAGGGATCATTTTGCCCTTTAACACTCCATCGTCTCCCCAAAATGCCCTGTATTTTTGTTCCCAGTCCACTTTAAAGAAAACTTTTTACATCACCACTTTAAGGTGACATTTGACTCCAGAAGGTCTGACTCCAAAAGCAATTTAGTGGAAATAATTCTTCTTCTTTGCCAACATACATACACACTTCTTCTCATCAAGGAAATTGTACCTTCCTCTTGATTACAGTAATACCTCGGTTCACGAACGCTTCTGTTCAGAAGCAATTCGGTTTGCGAACAGCAGCATTCGCAAAATTTTGCTTCCATTTGCGAACTCCACATCGGGTGTTGAACATGACCCGCGGCCATCTTCCCTGCTCTGACATGTGGTCGTGGCTTCCTCTAGGCGAGATCGCGGTTGCAGACAGACACTTGCTACGAAGCTTTTTGGTGTCACCTCAAGCAAGGTTAGTGTTAAAAAATATATACGTATGGTTCAGAATGGATTAACCTTATTTACACTGAACCTTATGGGGAAATTTGATTCGGCTCGCGACCAATTCAGCTCGCGACCAGAATCGTGGAATGAATTAAGTTCGTGAACCGAGGTACCACTGTATATCCTGAGATTTATTTATTCATTTATGTTAACAAGTAACAGAAGATAGTTTTATAGATGTATATTACTCCAGTTCTTCTGATGTCGACCTAATAGAATCATGACAGGGAAACAAATAAACCTGCATTTGGAGGATGCATCATTCCATACCACATTTTGAAGGCTCATCCTTTCAAACCAACAATAGGACTGCTTTGTTATGGCCTCTTCCCTGAATAGCACTCTACCACAATGAAAGACTAACACTAGAAACTCATATACTTCTAGCTGGGAGAAAGTTCCACTGAACTCAGTGGTTGGGTTCACATTCTAATATTCCATAATGTGGTTTGGTTTTTGCTTGGTGTAATGTATGAATTCAGCCATTAAAATTTATGACAGTGTATATGTGAACATAGACATAACAGTTTGTTTAATGAACTGTAATTAAATAAACAGGCTCACTGAAAATTGCAAGCATATCTTGTGGAGTTTATTTCTGAATAGTCACTTAAAAGACTATCTTATCAAGTCATGCAAGAATAATTTTAATCTTTTCAGGTGTATATCAGTTACTGAAATATTTGCTAATTTGGTTAAACTAAACACTCATAGGTATATCATCCTTTACCTGCTCAATAATTTCACCTGAAACAATGTAACTAATCAATAACTATACACTAGCTTATATTATTACAAGGTAGTTAACTCAATGAAATGGAATTAAGGCGCAGACACATTTATTAATTAAAATTAGTACATTTAATCTTAGTTAAATTTATAATGCTCCCAGAAAAAAAATATAATAGGGTATATTAGAAGAACCACCCCCCTCCAAAATAAATACAAACAATTAAAAAAAATTAAAAAACAAAGAAACAAAAAAGTTGTAGGGAACTCTGTCTTCCTCCTGGCCCAATCTACAAATAGCAATTGAGTAATAACAGAAAGCAACTCTTTTAAAAATTAGGATGGCTTAGATTCAATGATACTAGCATCAATAAAAAGATCGTTTTTCTTTTGTAAGGCAGATCCTCCAGAATTCTCTACTTTTCCTATCCCATTAATTCAGGAACAGGCAATCTTTGGTAATGGGCTGCATTCTGTTTTTTTAAAAACATTTTTAACCGCCAAGGGCCACAAAGGGATAACAGAAGAGGCAGTCAGCTTTTTCCTCTCTTCCTTCCACTGGAAGGAAAGCAGGTGGAAGAGAACTGATTGGCAGAAGATTTAACACACCTGTTGTATCCCACCCACGCAAAAATTACACAAATACAAATTAGTGATCTGCAACAGGATTTTGATAGTTTAATCTTGGGGGAGGCACGTGTGGTTTGCAGCAATGGCTTGCCCATCCCTGAATTAGGGCTCTTGATCCAGAGGAATCTGTCAAGAAGTCAAGAAGTTCTTACTGAGTGCATTTTTCCTTCCACTCCACCCACACTCTTCATCTATGTAAGTTAGAAAAAACTTTGTATTTCATAGAACATCCTGATTATCAATAACATTAGAAAATAATTCTGTCATCCCCAAATATAAATATTCAAAATTACATCACAATTGAACCCATTTTATTTTTATCTCAAGTTTTCCTAATAAAATTAAATTTCTGATATTTTTGTTTTTTCTTTTTCATCTTCATGTGAAATTGATACGCTTTAGGTAAACAAGCATAGCTAGAATTTGTACTGCAAGGGATAGGACTTGCTTCAAGGACCTTAAACAGGAACAGTGTGTAATGTCGTTTATCCCTAAGGAAAAAAACTGAGATGATTTTAAAAAGTGTACATAAAGTTGGACAATCCATTGACAATTTGCATATTTGCTTTTATGTTCTTTCTTGACAGAAGACTATCAGACAGTACTTCTCTTCACTACCTTTACTGGAAATTTCTGCCATCTTTGAATACAAGCATGGCAACAAAAGGATGGCCTGGGCAGGCAGAAGGGAGGGGCTCGTGGGCAGGCCGGCTGAGTATGGTGCATTTGGATGCAAGCACAGCAGCTAATGGCAAGAAAGGCACTGGGAAGATCCGCAGGTGCCCAGGCCATGCAGAGGAGCCTTGTTCTACTTGCCCCATAAGACCTCCTTAGGACTGGTCTGAAACAGGAATTTCAGTTCAGCCTGGTGGTACAGCCAAACTCCCCAGCTGCATTTTCTGTTTCATGCATACCTCTTCTGTCTAGTACACAGCTTGGATTTTTATCCTTCTCAGAAATAAAAAATCACATATAAATCATATAAAAACAAAAGATAGGGACTGTTTATCTGCAAAAGTTTACATATAATATAGCCCAAATACATTTAAAAAATAACTGTCCGATATATTTTGCAAAACCACTCCAAAATCACCATATAAGAACAGTTCAACTGCTACAGCATTTGAATAATTCAGAAGGGTATAATACATTCTCTCGCTTCTACTGTTTAACTTAAAAAATGCTGTCCTTCAGCCCTTTTAAATCCTTTTAGATAATAAATAATATTTCTACATATAGTCCCTCTTTATCAAACACAGCCTCCCAGTTGGTATAACATGGATGGAATCCAATACATGTTTCTGTTAGAACAGCAGGGAGGCCATTTCTTTTGGTGGCTAGGACTCTATTTATTTACTTCGTCACTGATGGCTATAGGGAGAAGGTTGATGTAATGATGCTACTGCCAAGGCATGGACCAAATATCTGAAATGTGATTATATTTTTAAAGATATTTTAACCATATGAGGCTTCTTTCATCTTTTCCCCCTTAACTGCATGCTAAAATCAGCAGTGTATCATGCCACTAATTTTTGGTAGCTTGCTACTGATGGGGGACAGAGGAGGGAGATTGCTTGTGTGTTAGCAAAAGCATCTTCTTTTAAGGAACTGGAAAGGATAATTCTCCCTTGCTTCCTGGACTCCCCCCCCAACACATTATAAATAATTTGCAGGGCTGCAGAGAGTAGAGGTTTAGCTATTACAATATTAGATTTTCCATCTGTAATGTTCCTGTAAACTAATGGCATGTCATTGCATTACATTTTAAATACATACTTAGAAATCAATGAAATTGACAATTCTCTATTTACAAATCCATATAAAATTAGTGTGCTTATCAAGGACCAAATATAGATTTCAATTCTCTCATTGTGTATATGCTTGATGTTAATTGCGGTCTGCCATATATACTAAGTGAAATGTCTTTGTATAGTATATAGAATTACAATATATCACTGAAATGTCAGTTCCTACATACGAACAAATCATTTAAATCATGTACGAAGTATGGAAAAATGAACAGGAATACTTTGATACTTACTGTTATTTACTATTTCACATAAAACTGTGAAAAACTAGGTATCTGAAATAGTTTTCTTCCACTGTGCTTTGCTTCCTAGCAGCTAGCTTTATTCAAGTTTTTAAAAAATTCAAATGAGAATTCAACATTGGAAACAATTATGCTAATGCTGCCAGAAAATGTGTTTGCTTTGTTAAATTGAGCTTCAAAAGTATTTCAATTGAACACACATTTGTAATTGCAAGTAAGGCCTATTCTTATACCCAATTCAAAATGCTTATTTTATTACAGCTTATTACAAATATGCTGTCTAAAATGCAACAGCATGACTCTTTCATTTCTAGCCCATAATTTTATGATAATTATATGTAATAGTATGCATGAGCTAATTTCTATTCCTAACAAAGACCCAGATTGGCACGATAGCAGTTCTGCTTTCCATATGGTATAATACTGCCTGCACAGGAACATTCTTCAGTTAGAGGAGAGAGATTTAATCACGTGCTTTCAGTTTTATATTCTTTCATCTGGGCTGCAGTACACCAAAAGAACAAACATAATCTCCAAAGACTAATTATGGTATGTTTTCAGTCGCTAAGGTTGGCAGCTATAAAATATGTCTTTTATTAACTGTCTCACATTTAAATGTTACTATGGAAAAGATCAGTTAAATCCTGAAGATCTGTTATTTTAACATGAAATTATCTGAAGGCATCTTCATTCAGGCAAGATTCCAATCATATTTCTATAAATTAAATTATCATGTCAGTGTTATATTTTAAAATGTTATACCATTTTGCCTTTCACTTAGTCAGAGCCAGGTCATCTTACTATCATTTCAACAGGATTCTCATTTGGTATGAAAACATTTTTTTCCATTATAAGACTGCACTCTATATAGAGTTGCCCTTAAAATACAGATATTTCTGGGTGCTTTATTAAAGAAATTTAAGAATTGAAAATCATTTCACAAACATTAAATATTTTCATAACATGGTTACGACAATCTGGGTGGGGAGGGGAGAAAAACAGAGTATCAAGAATCACCTGATTAGTTATGCTCATCTCTCTATGGCATGTATGTAGAGTTTTGATCACCACCCCGAAAAAGGACATCGTATGGTAGGAAAATATGTACATAACAAAACAACAACAATAATTGGGGGGCTACTTCAGGTCCCTTATGAGAAAAAAATAAACTATCTGTAGATTTACAGTGGTTTTTCTCCCTCTCTCACAATTGGGGGTCATTTCTTAAACTAAAATGTATTGATATTCGGAAGTGATGAAAACTAAACATTCCTTACACAATGCATTGCTATGGGATTTGCTGCCATCAGACCAATTGATAACCAGTAATTTAATTAGTTTTGAAAGAGGACTGGATAAATTAAGAGAATTAGGCTATTAATGGTAGTAACCTTGATAGCTCTTTATTACATCCAGAACTGCAGGCAGCATATCTTACATATGAGATGCTAGGAAGCACCAATGGAAACAGCTATCATCTTCCTGTTTGTGAGCTATTAGAGAGTATTATTAATCTCTCTACAATAAGACAGAGATTAACCTGAAATCATTTATTCCTCATAAAAAAGCTGAATATCTCTGATTCAAATACAGTAGTTCTACTAAAGTGTGAAAAGAATGGACTTAAGAAAGTAAAGAGCAAAAATATTTTAAAGTATTTAAATACTTTATCAAAATATTTTAAAATAAGCTGTTTTATTTCCCAGAAAGTTGCAGATGCTAAGGATGTGAATACTACAACAAAACGCACATAAAGCCGCATAACTTTACCTAGGTAGACACTTACAAAATTAATTGCTATTACCTTAATTTCTGCAAAAGGTCTATCTAAACTTCCAACATAAAGCAGTCCAACATTCCGTGGGAGAAGCCTAAAAAAGAAAATGTCTAATTAAAAGCTGCCTAAATATCATCATATCATGTTAAGTATATGATTTGGTAAGTACATTTAAAGTAATCTGTCCTGGTCCATATATATTTTGATTAATATACAGTACTGTGCAAAAGTTTTAGGCAGGTGTGAAAAAATGCTGTAAAGTAAGAATGCTTT